AAATCGGTTGGCCAAACTATCATAGCACTCATATTCTCTTTCCAACTCGGACTAATTCTTCCCACTTGGCTTAATTTAAATTTTAACTCTTCTAAGTTAATTTTTTCAAGCGGTTTCAATAAGTCAGGCATTTTCTTTAAAGAGACCTCATAGAATTCTTTTACTATAGGTTCCCATAAGTCTGTCCATTTACTCGCGTTGGTTGGTTGTCCGATAGACAACATATCCAACTGAGCTCTCCCATGTTCTAGTAATAATGTTAATGACTGACTGGTCTGACGGACTGTATTTGTTATCAACAACAACTGGAAATATTGTTGTAAAAAAAACCCTCTAATCCTCTCAGTTCTGCCGCTTGGGATCCTGTTACATTGAACACCTCCTCTCTAAAACTTTGCGAATGGGAAATTAACCAATTTATGCCACCTCTGTTCTTAGCTAATTCCAACCTTGTAACATGAAGAATGGATACACGCTCTCTCTCTAGGTATTTGAGATAATACTTATTGGTTCTTTTCCACATCTTTCAGTTTTCTCCTAATCACCCTTACATCATCTTCTGACACTGTTCCAAATAACACAATAGGTAGTATGGTTCTTTTTTTCTAGTCTGCAATAACTACCCTCTTCAGGTATAGACTCATATCCTTCCATTGACGATCAGATCGAAGTATCAGGAACTCTTGGATGCATTATACGTTGGTACTCTTCATTCTGTAGATAAACATGAGCTACCTGTGTTCTAGTACTTTTGAGCTTCATTTCCATTTCTAAATGCGCTAATAACTCTTCATATGGTTGTAAGTCTATCACTAGGGTTATCAACCATTTCAATCTAGTTATGAACACCTCACTGGTCTTTTTAAATATATTTGCACTATGTTCCCAGGCACTTACTGCCCAAATCAGCACCAGCACTACCAGTGGTCATCTCCTGTCCATATCTGCAATGAGATGGAAATAAGAGTCCATTTTTACTCCTATATTCCTTTCTGTCATTTTTCTCATGATTAGCGATTTGCGGCGTAATTACCTGAGAAAGTAATCCAGTGCCCAGCCAGCGGCGTCATGCACGCATGAGGTCCCTTCCACACATACGTTAACACCGACAACCGCGGTCCAGCCCACCCTCAGGCTCTCCCGCATTTATTTTATCAATCTTCCCATATTATCTATTCTGGGGTCTCAGTTCGCACTGCCCTTGTCAGTCGTAATTTTATAGGTAATTCTTATACTTCCTTAGATGCTTTTTCAGTTTTTAATCGTTCTTTTAACTGATCTAACTGAATCTCATCCTCTTCTTCCCAACTATTCGACCTTTCACTACTCATCCTCGGTGCATTATCAGCTTCATTATTTTCCTCGGGGGATCTATTTTTACAATTATTGATGCCCTTTATTCTCTCTAAACTCTCTGGGGAAATCATAATTTCTTCTTCTCCCTCTTCACTATCAGTCTCTATTTCTTCGGGTTTAACGAAGGTTGCACTCCTCCTTCTTCTCTCCTTACCTCCTTCCCATTCATCTATCTCAGCTAACATGCACCCGCTTAATTTTTCTTGCTATTTGATCTCAAAATTATGTAAGAAGCAGGTCCCGTCTTATTCCACTATCCTGTAAAAAGGAATCCATCTCCGATCCAACTTACCTTCCCTCAGGTGCACTTTATGATATACGGGATCACCCACTTGGAAGTTAATTTTCTTCCTGCTTGTATTTATTCTATCATTACGCCTCTTCTGAACTCTCCTGATTCTCCTTCTCATCTGAGTAAAAACCTTATGTTGTTGTTGTTTCAAGATCAATTTATGGCGATTTTCTCTCATATATTTCCTTCTCGATCTTAGCAAATTATCTATCGGTAAGACCACATCACTGCCAAATATAATATAGTAAGGGAAAAATTTCGCGGTTTCGTTCATAGAAAATTGCACAGCAGCCAGTGCTTGAGTTAAATACTCATCCCAGCTCTCCCTATTATCTCCTGCTAATTTAGCTAGAACATCGCCTAAGGTCCGGTGGAATCATTCTACCTTAGCATTACTCTGGGGATGGTATGGTGAGGTAGTAATGTGTACAATATTTAATTCTCTCAGAGTCTCCTTCATAATTTGATTTATGTTCTCTGGTCCATTGTCAGTGATCAACTGCTCAGGGACTCGATATCGAGGAAATATCTCCTGAGGTATTATATTTGATACTGTTTGTGCTTTCCTATCAGGTATCACAAAAGCCTCAGGCCAATTCATCAAAAGTCCATGAAGCTTATTATATATGAATTTCCACAAGGAGTCTCTCCATAGGGCCCTGAAATATCCATGCTCACCTTCTGAAATGGATAATTTGGAATATGTGTTTCCATCACTGCAATTGACATGTTATGCACTTGTTCATATAATTCAATACATCATTATACAGTCTAGGCCAAAAATAATTCCTGACTATTTAATTCATAGATTCTATCAATTCCCATGTGTCCTACCTTTTCATGACACACTGGTCTAGGATTTCTTGTCTTAAAAATTTTTTAACATTATTTTGAGACTTATTTCTTCTTCTCATTCCAAAAGGTAACTCAATACTCCATTGTGTATAACATATTTAGAGGTTTCCCTGTTTCTACCCCCTCCTAAGAGAAGTAATTTCGCTATCACCCTGATTCTTCTCTATGATAGCTTCCCAATGGGGGTCCCTAATAATAATTTCTTCTTCCTCATCTTCTTCTTCCTCCTAAATTGGATATTTGCTTAGGGTGTGAGAATTTATCACATTAATTTGATAAGCTCTGTCATCCACACCTGGTTCTAACTTAATGGATTCAGACTCTAATTTTTCTGGAATTTTTGATAACAGATTTGCACAGGTGTTATCTTTTTCAGCTAAATGCTCTATTTTACAATGATAGCCACTAAGCTTCAATGCCCACTGGTGAATCTTCCTATTCATCTATTCTGCCTTTAATAAATGTTTGAGGGGCTTATGGTCAGTTTTAATGGTAAACACAGCCCCACTTAAGTAATAATCTAATTTTTGTACTGCATATAAAATTCTTTTTCTCTATCACTGGCCATCTCTGATAGTCTGTCTGAGACATAAAATATATAGGTACTTCCTCAGGTATATCTGGCACTGGTCCTTCTTTATCAGGACATGGCTGGGTAAGTACCGCACAAATATATTTATCACTGGCATCTGTATAAAGCACCATCAGCTTCTTTAGGTCCGGGTAAGTCAGCAAGGGTACTGCTGTCAACTGGTCCTTGAAGGTATCAAAGACTCACTGGCAGTCCTCCATCCACTTAAATCTAGAATACTTTTTAGTCAAGGCTATCAAGGGTCCTGCCAATCAGCTAAACGCAGGTACAAAGCGACTGTCATATCCAATGGCTGCTATAAAGCCACGAATCTCTCTTACTGTTTTGGGATCTGGCATATCCCTTATCATTTTTACCTTATCCAAATCAGGTTTTATCCCCATTTTGTTTATAAAAAACCCAAATACTAGGTATCATTCTTCATAAACTGACACTGAGGCAAATTTAATTTCAACCCGTGCTTTCTCAACCTATCGAATACCTTCTGTAAGTGTCTAAAATGCTTCTCAGGTGTCTTAGAAAACACCATAATATCATCCAAGTAAGCCATAGCAGAAACTTCCATACCTCCTAACACTATGGACATTACTTGAGTAAATACACTTGGGGCATTAGATAATCCAAACAGCATTACATGAAAATGAAATAAACCCACATGACAAGTAAAGGCTGTCGTCTCCTGGTCTTTTTCATCGAAGGCTTCTTGCCAATAACCTGATCTTAAATCGAAAGTAGAAAAACAGGTTGACTTTCCCAAAATCAGGAGTAAAAGTACCGCCAATGACATTTAACTGTTTAAAATCCACACAAAATGTATGTTCTCAATCCTTCTTTTCCACAATAACTGTTGGAAAACTCCATGGGAACCTAGATCTCTCTATTACTCCTGAGTCCAACATCTCATTTACCGCTCCTTCCACTAATATTTTTTATGGATTGGGGTTCTATAAGGCCTCAATTTAATGGGTGTGTGGTCACCAGTGTCTATTTTCATTTGTACTGTCCCGGTCTGTCCTAACTGTTTGTCCGTATTAGCCACCACATCTCGATTAGCTTTTAGCAGTCTCCTTATCTCGTCTTTATATCTTTCAGGCACTATCAAGTCTTTCTCCTTTATTTTGGGGCTACTAGTCTCTATCTTTCTTCCATAATTCTTAATTACTCTCACCTGTTTAATATTTTTTATCAGACAGACGTGACCTAACTCTTCTGTCTGTTTTATTGTAATAGTTTTACTGGCTGAATTAGCCAACAATAGGGGCAACGTTTTCATCCCTTCTACCACGGAGCTACACAAGGTCACTTCTCCATTATCATACCCCTCTGTGGGTGTTATTTGATATAATCTTTCCGTCAATTTCGCCACTATATCCAGCCTCCCTTTACATGAAATAGCCATTCTAGGAGGTGGGGGAGTTTCACATCTGTCTGGGCTACTACTATTTCGCTTTCATTTCATTCCCCAATAGAATTTTCACCCCATCTAAAATCAATGTAACCGGGCCAAAGCGGATTTAGGCCTTATTCATCCTAAGCCAGTCCCTCCCTAAAATTAATTCTCCACACAGATCAGACGCCACATACACATTAATCTCGCCTGTGGTCCTCGCCAATTTGAATGGTAGCCATGTCATACCCTCTATTCTCATCTGACTACTATCTGCCTGGTTAATTAATAAATCCAATGGTTGGAGTTTTCTATGTAATCCCAGCTGTCTAAACACCTTGGAATTTATTAGAGAGACCGAAGACTCCAGTATCCACTAAAGCTTTTACCGTCTTGTGCCCCATCAATACATTAAAGGTGAAGTCCGGTCCGTCTTTAAACAGCTGAAATATCTGGACTCTGTTCCTTTTCCTCAACCTCCCCTTATTTTTGTTTCCCTGTTTCTCTCAAGCCTCGACATGAGTGCTAGCAATAGGGTCTCATCATTTGCCACTCTAGGTTGGTTTCTCTTGGGGCTTTCTCTGGGTAGAGTGGGGACTGGTCTTCTCATCCTCATTGTCTCTCCCTTTCCACTCTCAGCACCCTTTTCTTTGGACAATTCTTTCTTAAATGTCCAACCTTTTCACATTGCCAACACTTTCGCCATTTACAGTTGGCTGAAAAATTTCCAGCTACACCGTACGTCCAGTACCTCAGAGGGCTTATTTTTATTGGGGCCACCCTGCCTCTTATTTCTCTACGGGGGTCACAATGTCGTTTCCCGAACGCTTATCCTTCTTCTCGGTAGGTTGGGTGACTAGGTTGTCTATTTTCTTAATCCCTAGTTTCCTATCCCCTGCATCTGTGCACCACCTCGCCTTCTGGCTAAACTTTCCACATTTAGTACAGTTCGGACCTAGAGACATTGGGTCTCCTCCACAATTTGTAGGACAGTCTCTAACCTTGTGTCCTCCATACACGCAGGTCCAGCATACCAGCCCGTATCTGCCCGGAGTGGGCTCATAAAATCTGTGCCGTACATCCCATCCGCTCCGGTTGGGATTGGCCTCAGCTCCCCAAACTTCTTCCTCGTCCTTACAGGGTTTTGTGCCCACTATTGTATTTTGGAGCTCTTCCCTTTATTTTTTCAACCCCTGAGCCGTCGGGTCCCCTGGTCTCTGTTATTCCTTATCCTCCCCCAGATCCTTTCACTGCTCTTGGCTACCACTAGGGCCCACACTTCAGGACGTCATCCCTTACATCATTATGGATGGCGTCCATGAAAGCGTCCGCCAGCAACGTTTGAATTGCCCCATTTTCTCTTATGTCTGGATTCGGAAGTGCTAACCTCGCTAATCCCGCCATCCTATCTCTAAGGACCTTTTAAGTTTCCCTCGCCTCCTATTTAATTCTGAATTTGCGAACCACCTCTATGGTTGTTTACTCGCTAGCATAACATCGGATCAGGGCTTCTTTTAGTTCGTTCCATATTATCTGGGGGCTCTTCTTGTACAGGCCCCAGATAAACTTTGACACGGGTCCCGTTGCTGCCTCATATTCTAACAGCACCATCTCAAAGTCTGTCAACCCGTATACTAGCTGTTTCTTTTGGACAGCTATCATCCAAACGTGGAATTCAGTCGGGTTGCCTCAGTAGGTAGGCAATTTCATCCCGCCCAACAGACCCCTAAAGGCCGCTGTTATTTCGGGGACCGTAGTTTCGCCCTCCGTGATGTCCGATCCAGCGGTACTCATCTTATTTTTCTTTGGTGTCCTTCAGGTAGAGGCAAAGTTGAAGGACGGGGTGACGCACCAATTGTAACACTTGTCTCCTGTGACCCCAATCGAGGGATCAAAATGTGACCTACACCTGGGGTGGCTATTGTTCCTGTCCTAATGTTTTTGTAAATTATCCTCGTTTTTCAGACCAATATAGTCTTTCGACTAAAGTCCTTTCTTTTTTTTTAGGTCCTATTCAGCATTGCAAGGGTTCTCTCTCCTTTCCTTTCTTTTAATCTCGTATATCCAAGAAGTTCTGGTTCACAATGTCGATTCGATTCCACTTTCCAGCTACGTTGTGATTTTTGATCCTGAAGAGCAATTAACAAATCGTAGATCCCTGAAGATTCAACTGGTCTACCTGCATATCAGGAAAAAAATTGGTACAAAAAGAATAATGCTTTATAGTAGAGTATATGAAATAAAGTCCAGAAAAAAAAAACAACAAATATTGCAAATGATTCTGAAAGGAGAGAAGTAGTCTTCGGGTTCACCCTTTTTGTTCTTAGTAGTTGCCGTGATTATTTCACTATCAGGATATAAGGTGTTCACAGGAAGTATTGCGCCAATATTGCAGATAACTTGAGTTCACGTCCTCCTTTATTACAGCAGCAAGCGGACGCTTTCACTCTTACTGTCTCTCTCCCTCTCTCTGGTCTACTTCGACTTCGACTCGACTTCACCCAGCTTCAATTCCAAATTCAACTGCTTGTTTTCGCACAAACACGCGCTTAAATAAACGCGGTGGCAGCGGCAAAAACCCACCCAAGGTGTTGGTAACTTAGAATATAACCTGATTACTGACCTCCCCCCAAATCATGATTAAATGAACATTATTCTCAATTGGTATTCCATAGTTCATATAAACACTATTGTTTTGACATTTTATATTAATAATTCTGACGAAGCACAGATTCTCTGGGCACAAACTTCACCACGGATTATCTTTCTCATTTATAAACAAAATTCTATATTACTATAATTATTATTTCCCTCTGCCACATATATATATATATATATATGTGTGTGTGTGTGTGTGTGTGTGTGTGTGTGTGTGTGTATACATAATCACCACCTATGATCCTTCATGGAAATCCTCCTCCCTTCATCTCATGTGACCTCACTTTACATCTAACGCTCACATATCTCTCTCCTTTATGTATATGCACAAGCGTATTATGGCACTTCTTTGCTTTTGTATCTGTGTTGGGACACAGTTTTTGTACATGCAAACATGTGTAGCCCCGTCTGTGTAAATAGGTACGTGAGTATTCGTGTGCTGTATGTTGTATTCTCCCATAAGCAGGTGCATAGATTAAGCGTTATGTATATATCTGAGGTCACTTGATGAAAACACTCTTAAGTGCCTCTTTATAGCCTCATGATTAGTAATGTATTTGAGGACATCTTTCATGTTATCTAAGTACTGATTTAGAAATGTACTAATCAAATATGTACATAAGTGTTTATGGATAGAAATAGATAAATAGATGAATATGGATGTATATGTGTGTGTGTGTGAACATACGTATGGGTGGACACATTTACATGAAAACATATTTCTGTTCCCTGCCTCTCCCTATTTCTTTATTCCTTTCTCTTGTCCGGGGAATGAGAGTTCAACGCCACAACCATTGTATCTTCTAGAGACATATACCTCCCTTCTCCCTTCTCCCTTCTCCCTTTCCTACTCTATGTAACTATCTTAAAACACAACTTCCGCTAATCTTGTTTTTCATTTAGTTTTTCGGTTGATTCCTGGAAAAATTTTTGAATCACTCCTTGTTTTGAAACCGCAAGATCTGACGAAGCAAAACCGAATTTTATCGGTCTCGCTAAATGTAAAATATTACCAAGGCTTTCTGAAGTCTCCGATTTTTTTAATTATATATATATATATATATATATATATATATATATATATATATATATATTGCTTAAAATTTCGTGGTATTTTTTTTATAAAATGCTATATAGAATAGCAACAGCAACAAAAATGCTAGGTCACATACAATTCACTGCGCCTACCCATTCCTTTTAATCATATTGCTTGCTTCTTACGGTTGATAATTCTTTAACTTAAATCTCTTTTTTACTTTCTTTTTACAACGGAAAACATGTATCATATAAACTAAAAACATGCATCATTTTTTTTTTAAATATTTCCCTACCTACACACAATATTTTGAATTTACACTCCAATAAAATATATTAACTTTGAGCTTTGAATCTGCGTATAATTTAGCGTTCCTCCCATGAAATCCGGTATTTAAAAAAACAACTGTATTAAGTGGTCATTTGCCATTTGTGCCTGACGACTTGGGAAACCATGAAACTTTAAGTCGCACTACAAACGTGAGTATATGTGTATTTACTAATATATATATATATATACGTATGTGGGTTTGATGGGTAAATTGTCGCTATTTTATATTTTTAATTTCGCGCATGCGTGTTTGTTTTTAATTTTGTCAACTGCACAGTATACTAGAGTCAGTTGGACACCGTCTGTAAGAAAAAGAGTTGAAGGAGAGACCAACAATCCTTGTAACACCAAAGATGAACTGAAGCCAAAGATTATGGCAGCATTCACCAACTTAAATAAGGAGACTGTCCAGAAGGCCTGCTAGATATCTAATCTTTTACTCTTTACTTATGACCATAAAAAATATTTTTATCCGTCCAGAAACCGTTATAAATTACATTTTGCATATTAATCATGTCTTGGAATGGACACCTACAATTCCAATCGCATTATTCTGCTCAAATGATTTGAATGAAGGATTTTAAAAAATAAAAATATCTACAATCAGGTTTTAAAAAACTTGTTTAACGCTTCTGTTAGCAGGTTGTTTCTTTAATTGATTAAAATTTTCATCAATGACCTAATAGTAAGCTTGATTTCTAATTTTATATTTCTAGTGAAAATGTCTTATATGAAACTGAATAATACTGAATTATATAAAATTCAAATTTACTGACTAGATAAGGTACAAAAAATAAATTTCATTAAAATGCTTTGTCGGGTTACCTCCTTCTAATTTTCGTAACTGCTTTTAGGCGACACTCTCAGAACTATAAATACTCTGCAATAATTTTTTATCATTCTCTTCTGACCTTATCCGCTTTTTCATCAGCATGTAACCTCTCGCAGAGCACGCGCTTAACTTTTGGGAAACGCAGGAACAATACACACACGCTACACATATTTTGGACTAAAACGGTTTCCACATTTATTTGTTACACACATTATTGTCTTGTCGCTTGTATATCTTTGTTGTTCATACATTATCATTTGTTTGTACATATATATTGGTTCTTGTCCTTTCTTACATTTCTTTACGTGAACTCACATTCCGAGTCTGCCATGTTTGTTGTGTGTATTTCAGGAGACATACTGTTATTCTCAATTTCAAACACCGACGTTACTAACGCCTGAAATAAATTGGGAAGCGCGTATAACTGCTCGCAACAGCTTTTCTAAGTGTTTTACCAAATAATCATTTGAATTAAATGCGTATAAATAGCAACTTTTATTCAAGGATGTTACTTTGTGTTCACTTTTACTTGATAAGCAATATTTTTACCAAGGCACATGCTATTTTTTTATTTTTTCAAGCAATAGTTTAAAATTTACTTTAGGAGCTGAAATTTTGAAGTTGTTCAAAAATTAATAGAGCCAATTAATTAACTGAAATCATTCAATGTTTTCTACCAATTTATTCAAGAAAGAATGTAAGAAATTCATATGTGGTCATGTCACCCTGTCACCGAATATAAAGCCGTGATTAGATTCATATTATCTTTCTGTTCATCGTCAGCAACTATGATGTTTCGCTCAGCCAAAATCTTGGTTGCTAAACATTTGCTTTGTTCGCTAGAATTGAAGAAGTTCTTACTGCCAGTAGATTCGGTCTTGACAAAATCGCTCAACGTTTTGTTACAATTATTACACCTTTCACTTCTAATCAATATATACTCAAGTGTGATTCTTAGTATATCTTTCATGACACAACAAAAAAGTTGTACTTAACATTAGATTTGCAACAGTTTTATTAACAATATCTACACGTGGTGTTATAAATTCATTGAAAAAGGTAGTAAATCTCACAGAATTTAGAGAGGCAACCAATATTGTAGTGGTCCTTTGCCTTTAGAAAACGGAAGGAAGAGGTGAACACTGAACGCTTTAATTCTTTAATACTTTCTCAGTAGAGACTGTGCACGTTTCTTTGTTACAAGTCTCGCTACGAAAAACGACAATGTTCATTTAGAAATTGGTGATGTGGATATGGATGGCACGGTTACAATTCGACAAAGCTTCTTTCTATAAACTACCCACAACGAGCACTCAACCCAAATTGATGCGAACTCACTTTTTGCGTCTGCGCACATGATTTTATAAACATTGACTGGGTGCCGACAAGATGATTTATTAATCGAAATTACTCATAAATTTCGCTACTTTGAAGCCTGTTTTTTGCTTTGACTCATAAATGATTACATTATAGGTAGTAAGTATCTATAAAGTCAACTGTTTACGAGAGAATCAAGGAAGAGTGAGATCTGCGATTAAACGGCTTGCCCTAGATAGAGCTGAGAAGGTGAAGACGCTTAGGAGGGGGATCCCCTAGAGATAGCCTTAGCTAGGGAGGCCCTGAGCGTTTGACTAGCGAGCGCTACATGGGCCAGGTAATTAGACATAGGCTAAGCAAGATGTCTTCCGAAGCGGTGAACATGGGCGCAGAATTGCGCAAAGAAGAGATCCGTCGAGGGTCCGATCGGTACATTCGTGAAGTCAAAACCCCGGAGGGGCACACTCTTCGGGCCACTGACGACATATGCGAGGCGTTTCGGCGCTGTTGAAAAAGGGCAAGGATGTTGGGGGGGGGTTGCAATTAGATGATTACAGGCCCATAACTCTGCTAAACACAGAGTTAAAGATTTTGGCCAAGATCCTGCAGAAGCGTTTGCAATCAGTTGCCGAGTCCGGAGCTGAATTGTGAGGGGCCGAACAATTCAGAGCAACCTGCATCTGATCCTCACGATCATAGAAGGTGTAAAAGACGACGATGAGGCCGCGCTGATCAATCCAATTTGATATGGTTGACCATCGTTACCTTGCGGCTGTCCTGCAGGCTGCCGGATTCACACCCGACTTCTACCGCTGGATTAGCCTCCTGTATCGATCCCCCAGTGCTGTGGACGGAAACGGGAAGCTGCCGGGCGCTTTTGCACTGTCTAGGTCGGTTTGTCAGGGTTCTCCACTGTCGACCCTACTTTATGCTTTGGTGTGGGAGCCTATCCTTCGCCGGCAGAGGGACAGGGCGTGCAGTTCGGCCCTACGCGGAATCGCCTTTCCTGGAGGGGCTCGAGCCAGGGTTTCCGCGTACACCGATGACGTATCTACTTTCGTTTCGTCCCGCAGCGACATTAAGGTGGTACTGAAGGCGCTTGATCGGTACGAAAAGGTGACAGGGGCCAAGATTAACTGAGTCCGGCTTGCGGTTAGGTGTCTGGAAGGGGGTCGATCTTCCGGAGCATTTCGGTTGGACGGACGGTCCTGTTCGCATTCTTGGAGTGTGGTTTGGACCTGACCTCCAGCTGGAGAAAAATTGGTCTGAAGTACGAGCAAAGGTCGGCGCGGCCGGTCAGACATGGCGTCGACGGAGGTTGTCCGTAAAGGGCTTCGCGGAGGCGTGTGCCACTTACGTTTTCCCGACTGTCCTTTATCGATTGCCCGTACTTACTCTCTGTAAAGATCCTAAGAAGCTGCTCGAGTGCTCGCAATCCTCTATTTTGTGAAGGTGACGTAAGCATATGGTCGACAGAGAAGTCTGTGCACAACGTCTGTGTCATACGGGTGCTGGGAATGCCACACTTGGCGAGCCATGAACTCGCCTCGAGGTTGGCTTTCCTACGCCGCGCATGGAGATTCGATTATGGCAGGGATTGCTAGAGACGCATTTCCTTTCCTTACTATCTCACGGGTTGAGCGCCGTCGTAAACCCCGGGATCAATCGGATTTCCTTCACGAGTGTCGGTACGCCTTGACGATCATTCCTCGGTCCAGTAACCTTTCACGGTCTAGGAGGGTCTTCTATAATTATTTAGTGGAGGGGGCTGCGAAGGATCCTCTTTCGTGAGCGGCTCGACTTGTCAGAGGAGGAGTTTTGCTCTTTCTGGTCTTGGGCACCAGCGGCGGATTATCTCAGTAACCCTGAGTTTTCGCTTACCTGACGATTGGCTCGAAATAGGCTGCCTCTCAATGACAATGTCTTCATATGGGGCTTGGCGGATTTTCCAGACTGTGAACGGTGTGACCTTGGTTTAGAAGAAACGACTTCGCAGGCCTTCTACCACAGTCCCTTGTGGGACTATGTCGGCGAGTTGACGGCTCGTCTCGCTCCCGAAAAGCTCGTGCTCGTGGATCGCGCATACGCGTGTGACAATGTGTCGCCCCCGTATTCTGGGATGAAACAAATGGTGTTTCTGACGCTGCTGGCCACGGCCCGAATGGTGATTTGGACGATGCGACAGGAGGAAGTCTTGCGAGGCAACCGTCTTTCTCTTCAGTATCTAATCCGATTCTTTGAGCATCAGCCCAAGATGAAGATTAGAACTGATAGAAAACGCTTGCATTCGACAGTCTTCAGCGAAAGGAAGTCGGTGAGGAACCACCTTTTTAATCCTAAAAAAGACCCTCTGGATAAAGACAATTTAGATGAATACTTGGCCTTAGAAGTTTCTTCCGCAAGTGAGGAGGCCGTTGGTGGTGAAGGTATAATTAAATGTATGGTGGCCAATAATGGCCAAGAAAAAACTCAAACTACGGTGGACAGTAATGACCAAAAAACAGCTATAAATCTATGAAGGCCAATAATGACCAAAACGATAAGACATAAAATAACGTGGAGGCCGGGGATTCGCTCTTTTGTTGGAAGTCCCCGCCAAAATGCATCATCGATATTGCGGAGTTCTTGGAGCATGCCAAAAGTTATGCACACCTTGTGGTAGAAGGTGGGCTCTTGGAGGATACAGTTGAACTAAAGAAGATCGATAAAAGAATAGTGTCGGTCTTTGTCGTCGACAAGCATACGCGCAAAATTTGTCGTTCGACGAAAGACACAGTGGTAAAATCAATAGAGTAAAAGGTAAAGGCTTTTTCAGGTAGGACGTATTGTTACCCACAGCTGAAGATTTCGTTAAAGTGACAAGTCGTGAACTGATAACGAAAGATCTGATACTCCGAACAGAGTACGAGGGCAGGAGAAGTAACAATAGCAATATACGAGGTCCCGCCTCAATTTATCGGGGAAGACGTGGCGGCTGTCTAGAAATACTAGGTGCTTCCTGCGATAGCCAGACTGTGGGATGGAGATTCAACATCATGTTGGATCAAACTCTCACTCTGACCACGTCTTTGAAATCCGCCTCGCCTGTAATAGGCATGCCATCTTCCAGGACTAGAGTGGTTAAACCCCCGACTGAGCCTACATCTAAGCCCCCATTCCCCGAAGAGCTTTCTCTCGCTACAAGTGCAGTTGTGGAGGAGGGAGAGGTAGAATGACAGTTTGCTGGCAGGGCCTGAGGGAAGTGCTAGACAGTGCTAGTCCCCTGAAGCCCCCGGGACAAAAGGCACTAACAGTACCACTCCCTCTGTCAACAGTAAGGGCGATGCCCTGGCCTCAAAACCAACCCTAAAAGAACTTCAATGAATATACGATCCAGGATACGAGAAGACTGAAAAAATCAAGAAATTAAAAACAAAATTAGACCACCAACGGAATACAAAATCCGCCCCCATTAAAACAGCACCTCCCTCTACATCCACTGTCCCACATTCAGTACAGTCTTCCTAGCCCTCTACCTCCAGTCAGCTGAAGACCTCCTCTAAAAAGAAGGCCCCTCCCTCCACACCCTCTGACCCATCACATTCTTCTCAGCACCTCTTAGTAGAGAGAACTTACCTGCCACTCCATCCACATCCACATTTTTTCCCATCCCTCAACCCCTCTCAGTAGAGACCCCAGCCCTTTCAGACAATCGTATACGCCTCGCCACACCCCCAGTCATTCTCCAATCAAAATTCCTGAAATGCCTCCTCCCAAAAAACAAAAGGCTCAGAAGTCCTACACAAGAAAAAAGAAAAAACACAGCTTCAACCCAGGTGAAGATGTTTGCCGAATATACCCTGCCCAACCGGAAAAAACAGACTACGGGAACAGGATAAACGACTTAAAATATCTTTTATCAATTAAGCAATTCGCAGACAAATACATTGAGGACCGCCAAAACTTTCCCAATGCTGAAAGAGTTCTAACACTCATCAGAAATGGAACGGGAGGCTAAGCAGACTTGGGCCGTGCTTGATGAAGCCATAGCCTCTTTTAAAATGTCCCCGCCTATTGCAATAGTACAAAATGAAAAATTGAAAAAATGAAACAATTTTGTGCTGGAAGGGTCCGATTTTTGTTCACTCCTCCCTCTATAGAGCACTAAAATTAACTTTCCCTTTGGATATAGGCGGTCTCTCCCAAGACGGCACCATCAAAACTGAGATGGGCCACGGGTCAATGGGAGAGACGGTCGGTATCCTTACTCCGTCCATGTTCAGTTCAGGAAAGCAACCCTGATCGGTTAGATAAATGTCTCTGGTTAGCTAGTATAAATGTCCGAGGCCTGAGGTCAGCGCCTCGCAGGGGGAGGATCTTGCGACCTTCAGCGCCTCGGAGTGAATGTTTGCTGCGTACAAGAGACCCGGTTTTCTTCTCATGACTATGAGGATATACTTACTACGGGTTTCTCCCTTTATTCAGCATGTTTTGATGGTCGTTCGAGAGGTGTCTCTTAGCTGGTGAGCAAGTCTTTGAAGGCTGCATGTACTCTTGTCTTCACAGATCCGGCGAGCAGACATTGCGTGCTGGATGTTATCATAAAAGATAAGGCTCTGCCTTTTATTGGGGTTTATGTGCCCAATAACCATTTTGAGCGGCCTGCTTTGTTTTGGCAGATCGAGCCGTTTTTGGCGACATCTCCTCGGGTAGTTTTAGCGGGGGATTGGAATACCGTCCTTAACTCCCTCATAGATCGCATAGGGCCAAATTCGGGTACTAACAACCGGGACGTGAAACCATTTTGGGACTTTATCGGCAGGTTTAATCTTGTCGATAAGTACCGGAATGAACACTCTCGGAAGGACTAGGACAAATAGTGGCAACTCGGCTGCAGGGGTGAGTTCTAGCTACCTCAACCGAGTCTTAGTTTGGAAAGTCGATGTAGGGCTCTTAGGGCGTCCAAGTTTCCATTATATAGTTTATTCGGATCATAGGCTTGTCCGGGTCCGTGTAAACTTAGATAAGCCTAAGGTTAGCTTGGCTGGCTACTGGAAATTAAACTGCTCATTATTTGGTGAGCAGGATTTCCGAGACCAGCTGCTACTAATGATACAGAGGGAATTGACGGGGCAGTTGTAGGGAACGCCTGGTGGGATAAATTAAACTCCAAAATTTGAACGTTTGCTGCTGATTTTAGTCGTCGACTCAATCTAGATAGATTAGCGGTGCAAATGGCTTGTGAGCAAAAAGTCAATTGGGCAGTGAAATCCCGTGATAGTGGGGAAATAGCCTTAGCTAAGACAGAGTTGTCCTCATTGCTTATCAAGAAGAATCAAACTCTGGTAGTTAGAGCTAGGCTAAAAAGAATGTCCTCTGAGGCGACAAATATGGCCGCTGCATTGGGCGCAGAGAAGAATCGGAGCGCGTCTCGGCGACATATTGCGTACGTCACATTGCCGGATAAGCGGACCATGTGGAACCGCGCAGGGATTCCACTTACTTTTACGTGCACCCCTTCCTTTTCATTCGGCTAGATATAGTAGTAAACAGCCGTCTGCTGCCGACGTGAGAAAGTCGCTGGCTACTGCTGATTCCAGCTAGAACAGAATTTGAAGTTTTCCCGCGCATTCTCTTACATCACTGACGAACGGTGTTTTTCAAATCAGTCGCTGCCTGGTCTCCGAGCAAAAAGGTCGACTCATTTATTTCGCGCCCCTTACCCATACGCGGGCCGAAATATCTTTACTACAAAAAACTTCCTAGTAAACTCCTTGGCTCATCATGCCGCATCTCTTCATGTGGTTACAACTTTCTGCGAACAACTTGTTCGAACTTTCCTCCGTTCACTACCAGGCAACGTAGAGTTTTTCGACACGGATGATTGATAAACTTCACATACACCTTTTGAACTCTAACCTTACGAACCAGTTTAAAAAGAAAAAAAAATAACATTACACACACATGACAAAAATCTCGCAGTGAGTATTTTCCTTGTTGTGTAGGCATAAGAAGACTCTGTTTCAGAATTTTCCTTCTGAGGGAACCTTTCTCGCCTTAGCCATTTTGATTTTCGTTTTGGCGCGGAACATTAACATTCTTTTACTGACTCGTTTTCGTCGTTCCTCCTGGCTACCTATTTTTTACCTTTTTATGCATGTGTTGAATGACCTTTTTTCCTCACTAAGGAGACTGTAATAATTCTACGGTCAAAAGATCACACATTTATTATTTTTACTTATTCTTTTTTTTTTACTTTGCTTGTGAATTCGGTAGTCGTGAGTAGTGTCTGGCACAAGGCCACCTTTTCGTAGGCCAGCACTGCCTGCTACCGGGTCTGCTACAACTACAAGCGCGGGCATATACGAGGCCTTTCAGGATTACTTTCAGGAACTTTTAACCAGGGAGCCCGGTCTGAACCCTGCTCAGTTCGACACCTATTTAGCCGATTTTCCCTGCCTTGAGGCAGCTGAAGCGGCTAGGTGTGAGAATCCTATTACGGGGTCGGAAATCTGGAAAGCGCTGAAATAGGTTTGCCTGGACAAATCTCCGTGATTAGATGGTCTTCGGTACGAAGTGTACTTGTCTAACCCTTTCGCCGCAGCCCCTCAACCTCCGACGTCTTACTCTCTGGGTTGAGGTGTCTACTCGGTCCTAACCGAACTTAAGGGAGTACCCGTAGGTCCTCTGAGCATTCGTAGATTTTTCGACCGGTCTACTGGTTTAACCTTGCTTCCTGCCCACGTTGTGTTTGGTTTGATCCAGAAAGCAGAAGTGATGTTCATCCATTCACGGTCGACATAGAAAAGAAACAGGTTACAGAAAAGAAAAGTAATTGACGTAAAAACGCATACACTGGATTCTGGACAGAGAGAGAGTGTGTTATGATTAACTTGTTGTTAAATCGTCTCAGAATGATATACAACTCTTGCGATGGGGAAATAAGATTTCTATGCGCGACTTAAAGTTTATAGTGGCGTTGCTCCTTAGAAGTAGTAACAGTAGTAGTAATATTCGTGGTAGCTTTCTCAGCGGTTTTTTATGTCAACGGTACATGTTAGCGGACGCTTCGTTCCAATCTCTGACGTCACTTTTCTCCTTCGTCTCCAACTCGAATCTCCGCTTTTTCTAGCCCAACTCTCAGAAATTCTCTCCGGGCTCTCTCTCTCTCTCTCTCTCTTCCGTTCGCCTCTTCCTTTCTTTTCCTCCCGTTTCTTCCTCTTTCTCTTTCTCTCTCTCTTCCGTCTGCCGCTTTTTAACCATAACTACGCGTTTATATAGAAATATCCGGCTGGTTACAACTGAACCTTGGTCCTACTACTTGCACGCGATTATCACGGGGTTTTGGCTGTTTCAACCAAAATCATGTGAATTCAAAAGGTCCTCCTTGCTTACTCAGCTCTATTCCAAGTTTTAATCAATAAAAGTTATTTCGTCCATTTCCATTGTCTCCTGATGATCCAGATTCAATCGGTAAAACTTCTGTCCTAGATCAGGTTTCCACATCAGTAAACAAAAATTCTCTGATCTAATTTCGCTGTTCAAATCCACCCAATTTCACTAAAAAAATTATACGCGCGCGTGCGTGCGTGTGTGTGTGTGTGTGTGTGTGTTTCCCAAACTCTCTCTGTCACACTTGAGGCAGTCGCCCGTTCTTGTTCCTTTGCTGGAACTGATTTTCAACAACTGGATGAAGCAGGGGTCTATACCTCAACGCTTCAACAGGAGTGGGATCAAGTTCCTGCGTAAGGAGAAGAACGGTGGGGATGGGTTAGGTAACCTTCGCCATTTAACCATGTCAAACACAGAGTTAAAGATTTTGGCGAAGATCTTAGTCAACTGTTTTCAGCTAGTACTGTTTAGTCTGATTGGCTCCGAACAGACTTGTGCTGTGAAGGGCAGGACTATTAAGAACAACCTTCATATGGTACGTTTGATCTTAGAACAAGTGGACAGTGAAGCCGCGCTGATCAATTTAGATCAGTCCAAGACCTTCGATAGGGTTATGCATCGTTTCCAAGGGGCTGTCCTTTCGGCGGCCGGTTTCAGCCCGGACTTTCGCTCCTGGATCCGGTGCGCTGGTGGAAGTGAATGGGGTAAGATCCGAGCCTTTCGTATTGTCTCGCTTCATTCGTCAAGGTTGTCCGCTTTCGCCTTTGCTTTACGTTGGAACCTTTCCTTCGCAAGTTAAAGGCGAATCCGGTCCTGCGCGGAATATCTCTGCCTGGTGCTACTGTTGGAATTTTTGGGTACCCTGGTGTACTAGTGAGCCAGCCAAAATGAGCTGACTCATTTTATAGTTCACCGATAGAAGTGTCAACCAATCAGAAGGTTCAAAATATTCAATGCGACGTGTATAAAGGCGGCTATGTTTTTTCCCGAATATGCACTGCCAGCCTTTGATATTTGAATTACGGAACAGATGCTGGTGGTATTGGCGATATAGTCAGATTCAGTAGAGTGTCTAACTCGTGAGTGTTAATCTTTAACGTTGTTTCATTGAACAGATTACGTACTGCGCTGTATTCTATATTCATAGACTATGGTGAACATGGTCAACAAAGGTTATGAGCCCAGATTACGACTGTATTTTGACGGAGACAAGTCAAAATACGAATTGTGGGAAGTGAAATTCCTAGGCTACCTTAGAATACAAAAACTTCATGACATCATTCTTTGCCAAGATGACCAGAAAGAAGATGATGATTTTATGGAAAGAAATGCGACCGTGTTCGCCGAATTACTATAATGGCTGGATGACAGGAGTTTGTCTTTAATAATGAGAGAAGCCAGGGACGATGGCCGCCAAGCTTTAAGAATATTGCGTGAACATTACTTGTCAAAAGGCAAACCCAAAATTATTGCTTTATATACTGAACTAACCTCGTTAAGGAGACGAGAAAATGAATCTGTAACAGATTATATTATACGAGCTGAAAATGTCACAAATGCCTTAAATATGATGGGCTGCTAATAGCCATGGTTTTAAAGGGTTTACCATCGACATTAACGAGAGTCATAACTCAAAAAGATAAAAAATTAACTTTCACTGAGTTTAAAATTGCGTTACGTAGTTATGAAGAAACTGAAAAAATGTGTACCCCCCAAAATCAAGGCAATAACGTAATGCAACTGAGAACGTCATTTAAAAAATTCAGAAAACTAGTCCCTCAAACCTACCAGACTAGGAATTATGATATTAAAAACAAGGGGCTTAAAAACAACTATTACAATAACAGCAACAACAATAACAGGAACAATAATAATAGAAAATCAAATATCATCTGCTTTTGTTGTGGAAGAGCCAGGCATGTACGTGCGAAATGTCAATTTCATACAAGGAGTGATTTTTGTAAAAATGTAAAAGCTTTTTCGAATGAGCGAACATATGCTTTTTCATTTGGGTTGGATACTATACCCAATAGTTATAATTCTTACTTAGTCGACACGGGTGCGACAAATCATGTAATTACAGGTGAAACAAAATTTATTCATTTTGACTCCAACTTCGAGCCAGATTCCCACTTTATTGAGTTGGCTGACGGTACCAGAGCTAATAATTTAGTTTTAAAAAGAGGCGATGCCTGTATTTATTTACGCGATACCAAAGGACATATTTGTAAATGTTTATTAAAAAGAGCTTTATATATCCCTAAATTTAAACAAAATATTTTCTTGGTTCAGTCTGCTGTTAGAACTGGTGTTAAAGTTAATTTTCACCGAGACAATTCAAAGTTAACATACCCAGACGAAACTGAATTTAATATACAACAAAATCGACGTTTTTATTAATTGAAAAGTATTAAATCTGTAAAAACAGCCACCCACGACTTAAGGACTTGGCATAAAATATTAGGCCACTGTAATAATTCGGATGTTAAAAGATTGCAAGAACACGTCACTGGAATGAAAATTACATCTCCAAAGGGCTTACAACATTGTGACACATGTATTAAAGGGAAAATGACGAAGTATAGAAATAGGGATCAAATCCCAAAATCAACAGACATCTTGTTCAGAGTTTATTGCGATTTAGCGTGTCCAATTTCACCAATGGGTATTGGCACCTATTCATATGTATTAAACTTTGTTGACGAATATTCATAGACTATGGTGTACATGGTCAACAGCTACCACCTCGGTCAGGTATTCTGCCTAAGCTGATGATGTTTCGGTTCTTGTGTCGAGCATAGCCGAGAGTGACGAAGTCAACAAAGAGATCAGTGGTTATGAGATGGTGACAGGGGCCAAGATCAATCTGTTGGCTTGCGGTTGGGTGCATGGAAGGGAGTTTATCTTCCCGGACATTTCCTCTGGACGGATGGACCGACCAAGATACACGGCGTCTGGTTCGGTCCTGATCTCCAGTTCGAAATGAATTGGTCGGAGGTACAAGGGAAGGCCGAAATCGCAATTAATTTGTGGTCTCGGAGAAATCTTTCCCTGAAGGGGAGGGCAGAAGTATGTGTTTCACACATCTACCTGATTCTCCTTCACCAACTCTCGATACTTCCACATCCGCATGCCACACTAATGTCATTAGTAAGGCTCTTGTTCTCTTTCTTGTGGAGAGGCAAGGCCGCTATGGTATCTCGGGAGATCTGTTGCCTTCATCCATCTGAGGGCGGTCCGTGTATGCCTAGTATTGAGATTCGTCAATATATGCTTCGCATCGCCTTCCTAGAACGAATGTGTCGCGAATCGGATGAGGAGGGCGCCTTCTGGAAGGAAGACGCCCATAAGAACTTCCCATTCCTGAGAAGTGTGCACTCAAGCGACGAGGAGGCCCATCGTACACCCCGAGCCGAATGATCCTTCTACCGTGAATGTCGTCGTGCTCTGAAACGCCTCCTATGGGCATCAGATGGCCTCTCCAACGTCGTCACATAGGGCATTATATCAAATGTTAGTCAGGGGGTCCGTTCGTGATGAGCTGATTGATGAACTCGGCCTTACGAAGCAGGAGGGTCGTTCAACATTGCCTTGGGCGCCCGGCTTGAAATGCCTCAATAACGATGAAGCATCACTCACCTGGCGGGTGATTCGTGGGGCCCTCTCTGCCGCCAAAAGACTTTGTTCAGTGGGCTTGGAAAAATCTCCAAACTGCCGACGCTGTGTTAAGGAGTCGAGACCATTGGTCACGCCTTCTTTCATTGCAGGGTGGTAGTGCTGTTGTGAAATTTTATTGAAGGCCTTATGGTCCGCATGCTGCAAGGAAAGTTCTTTGTTCTTGAAGCCAGTTCTGTTTGTAGCAATGTGGTGCCGCCGATGACGAAGGCTGAACAGTATGTGTTCTGTTGCTTACTAGGGGTTATGAGAGTCGTGATTTGGACGACACGTCAGAATGGACTCACTTCCTCAGAATTCGGCAAAAGGTGGGTGAATCTTGCGCGTTTGTGTCGTGTGAAAGGGGCTAACCTGGAGTGGCACTTTGATGCCGGTTAGGCATCAGGATATTGATTTTCCTGGGTTGAACTAAGGCAACCCATCCCGAAATTAGGATATCTTAGGTTTAGTTTTTTGAATCTTTAGTTTTCTTTTTCAATAAAATTTAGCTAGGGTATGTATGCTCATTGGCCTCATTTTATTTCTGTCCATATTTTTCTTCGAGTTTAATTCCCCCATCCCCTCCCTTGTTAGATGGTCAGTTCTCTAGTGAATGCGGGGCGACTTTCGTTTCGTGTGTGATTTTTTCGTAGGTGTTGTGTCTGAATGAGTGCGTGTCTGAATGAATGTTTTATTTTATTATAGTCCCGCATTGATTTTGTCCAGTTAAACGGTGTTTCTGACACATTTAGTGATTGTGGGTTTTTTTTTATTACTAACACCATTTTGTTTAGTTTCTTGTAAATATTTTATTTTATATTGTAATTACTCATTGGGGCTTGTTTTTAAAGTTGTTGTTTTATCCCCCCCCCCCAGACGATGAAATTGTACATATGGGGACTAGTAAGTATTTTTCATGGAGACATTGAGTTATTATGGTGGGTGTGGTACGTAAGAATGTGTTGTTTTGGCGCAAGGATTATTGTTTTGGATGATTGGGTCAGCGTTTATAGCGAGCTAAGTTTAAAGTTTACACAAGACCGTCCTTTTTTCCCCTTCCCCATTTCGGCCTTGTGCTACATTTTCTGGATTTTTCAGAAATAAATATCAAGAGTGAGAGCGATATGACGCAAGCACATCCAACCTTCCAATTAGTGGCACTCACTATTAGAATGACCTATGTGTATAACTACCGTATTTCATATTGTACTTG